AAGAATATCAATTTAAGGGGGAAATCAACAGTATGAAAAGAGTTTGCTGCTTGGAAAAGTGAGTGGTTGACTCATTGCCGTAGAGAATGCACCAGTTAATGATTGTAAATTAATTGCCAGGCTTTATCTAAAACTGCCTGGTTTAAGATTTAAACAAAACTTGGCAGTTAACATTAACTGTTGCATTCTCCTTGGCAACGTCTCTATCAATCATAGTCCATTGTCTAACCAATCAGCATTTTCCTCTCATACTGTATGGATGTTGGTTTTCTTCTTAAATTTCTATTCTCACAAATTGCCCCGGTAAATGCAAGATTGAAGAAGATTGATGAAGGCAAAGCAGTGGACATTGTCTATATGGACATGAATAAGGCGTTCAACAAGGTTCCTCATGGTAGACTGGTTAGCAAGGATAGATCGCATGGAATACAGGGAGAACTAGACATTTGGATACAAAATTAGCTCAAAGGTAGAAGACAAAGTGTAGTGGTGGAGGTTTGCTTTTCAGACTGGAGGCTGGCGACCATTGATGTGTTGCAAGGATTGGTGTTGGGTCCACTGCTTTATGTCATTTATATAAATGATTTGGATGAGAATGTAGGTGGTACGTTTAGTAAGTTTGCAGATAACACCAAAATTGATGGTGTAGTACCTCAGAGTGCAACAGGACCTTGATCAGATGGGTAAATGGGCTGAGGAGTGGCAGGTGGAGTTTAATTTAGATAAACTTGAGGTGCTGCATTTTGGTCAGGTAAATCAGGGCAGGACTTATACACTTAATGGTAAGGTCCTGGGGAGTGTTGCCAAAGAAAGAGACTTTGGGGTGCAGGTTCATAGTTCCTTGAAAGCAGAGTCACAGAGAGACAAAGTAGTGAAGAAGGCGTTTAGTACACTTGTTTTTATTGGTCAATGCATTGAGTATAGGAGTTGGAAGTTTATGTTGTGGCTGTATAGGACTTTGGTTAAGCCATTTTTGGAATACTGCGTTGAAACTTGAAAGGGTTCAGAAAAGATTTACAAGGATATTGCCATGGTTGGAAAGTTTGAGCTATTGGGAGAGGCTGTATAGGCTGGGGCTATTTTCCATGGAGCGTCAGAGGCTAAGGAGTGACCTTATTGAAGTTTATAAAATCATGAGGGGCATGGATACGGTGATTGTCAAGGTCTTTTTGCCAGCGTACGGGAATCCAAAACTAGAGAGATTAGGTTTAAGGTGACAGGGGAAACATTTATAAGGGACCTAAGGGGCAACGTCTTCACCCAGAGGGTGGTGCATGTATAGAATGAGCTGCTAGAGGAAGTGGTGGAGGCTGGTACAGTTACAACATTTAAAAGGCATCTGGATGGATATATGAATAGGAAGGATTTAGAGGGATATGGGCCAAATGCTGGCAAATGGGACTAGATTTATTTAGGATATCAAATTGGCATGGATGACCAAAAGTGTGCAAACATAACCACTGCCTAAAAGAATTACAGGGTTTGTTAATTGGGCATTTGACAATGTTTTTATCCTTTTTGATTCATTGGTTGCTGAAATTTGGGCTGTTATTAATCTGAAAAATCCTTGACAATGAGTACCAAACGATTTTGGGCTCAATTTAAAGAAGAGGTTAGTACCTTGAAAAAGCAGCAAAAAGTTAGAGAGCGGAGTGATAGATAGCTCTGTCCAACAAGGAATCAAAATTACCACTTGGAATTGCATACAAAAGTGTCCCACTCTTGGTGTGATGGGAATAAGCCTGCCTTAAAGCTCTTAGATGCTATTGGAATGGTTTTCATTACCATACAGAACTAATGTGTTCTTTTCTTTCCATGATTTAGATTGGAACCATGGCTGAGTTGTCATCTACACAATCGCCCTTTGCCAATGTTTCCCAGTCAGTAGTAGATGTTATTGTACTATCAAAGGACACTAACTGCACCATTGAAGATGGTTTCCTTGCATTGAGTCTGCCTATCTTCTACATCATTATTTGTGTCATTGGGCTCCTTGGTAACTTACTGGCCTTATGGGTGTTTTTCTTCAACCAAAGGAAGTCAACGTCTATTTCTATTTACATGAAGCATCTGGCTGTGGCTGACCTCCTGTTGTTACTCTGCCTTCCATTCAGGATTGCTTACCATATTGGAGAGTACAAGTGGATGGTAAGGTGCTACTTCTGTAAGATCATTGGGACATTTTTCTATATCAACATGTATGCCAGCATTGTATTCCTAGGATTGATCAGCCTGGATCGCTATTTAAAGATCACAAAACCTCTCCTCAAGTTTAGGATCCACAGTGTGAAATGGAGCTCAGGCATATCCAAGGCTGTGTGGCTCACTACCATCTTATTCATGCTGCCCTTTGTTGTGGTGAGCAGCTTAAAGTCAAATGAAACAAAATGCTTCCACTACAAGAACCAGAGTGTGATCGCGGGTGCAATGAACCTAACAGCTGTCATGTTTATTTTTATACTGTCCTTGCTATTCCTGGTGTCCTATGCCAAGATTGCAGTCAAGCTCTACAACATCTCCGAAGGGAAGAAAAAGCAGCAAATCAGGAAAGTGAGCACCAGAGCCATCATAAAGACCTCCATTGTCCTCGCAATCTACATAGTGTGCTTCATACCTTATCACATTGTTCGAGTCCCTTATGTCCTCTCACAGATGGAAATCATTTCCAGCTGTCATTCTAAGCAGTTTCTGCATGTGGCCAATGAACTGGTTCTGTGCCTCTCTGCCCTAAACAGCTGTCTTGATCCAGTCATCTATTTCTTCCTATCCAACTCTTTTCGCAGGGTTATTATTTACACCATTAAAGGAAGGTTCAGCAAAACCTTTCCCAAAGCAAATGGAACCAGAACCAGTTTCAAATCCATTACAGATGTCTGAGATTCAGAGCTGCCGATACTAAGTTAAGGGGATAGAAGCTGAATGCATGGCCATTAAGCAAGCACCATCACAGTAATCATTTGAATCCAAGGTGATACGTGGAGTAGTAGTATTTTAGGCAACTTTTGCAACAGCCTGCCTAGAGATAGCAGTAATAGCCCACTCATAGAGACAAGGGCATGTCAAATACTCAAGTTATGCCAGTGTTCCAAATGTTTGATGTCTGGCCATGACAAAGAGAACTCAGCAGCAAGAGTTTAAAGCCACAGTTTTGTTAAGCCAGATGTATCACACTGTATTACTGCAAATCGTGGAAATGGCAATTATGTATCTTCACAGAAAGAACCTCTGAAAACATCACAGGCCTATTTTCAACTGTTCCTAGCTTATGTTTTCCAACATGGACTTATAGACATTTTGTAAAGAAGATGCAATGTTGAATTAAACTTAATTCCAATGTTATAGCTCTAGGAACATTTCACCAGTTTATTACAGATGTTTACAATGCAGGAAGGCACATTATCTTCATGCACAAGCTCCAAACCATAGTAATACCAACACAGTACCTGTGTGAGCCTGGGTATTTCTCCAGCTTGTGTGGACACTGGGAATTTCTGGTATTGTAGACTTTGGCAGATCAGATTTCCCAGAGTATGTTGCATCTTGCAATACACATGTGTTTTGTAAAAGACCTAAAGATACAGTGAACAGTTTACAAAGAAAGTCATTTGTTGTTTAATAAGGAATCAATTTCCTGTACAGGACATTCATAATAAAACATGATCTTTGGTCTTGATAGTGACATCTGGCTCTGAGGCTGAAGAGCAGACTCACCTGACTCTTGTGCTTAGTGCAAATTTCAATTCCCAGCACAGAAAGCCAGAATTGTTTTCATAGAGACTCAAAATATTGTGCAGAACAATGGATGAATTGGACCCAATACCTTGTTATGTATTAAAGAGTTATTCCATGTTAGATTGTAAATTGCTTTAAATGTTTTATAAATAACTGTGAATGCTGGAGACCTGAAACAAAAACTGAAAGTTCAGGAGAAACTCAGCAGGTCTGGCTGAGATGATTCTAATCATTCTAATATAACTGAGGAAGAATCATTAGACTGAAACCATTAAATCTGTTTCTCTCTTCACAGAAGCTACCAGACTTGTTGAGTTTCTTCAGTACTTTCTGTTTGTACATCCTTAAATGGGCCCAGATGAAATTTGTACTATTAGAACATTACTAGGTGTGAAACATATATAGGAATTTTGCATTATAAAGCAAGAATTATTTGAACTGTCAGCACTTTAACATCTAACGATATGGATGCTTTTTGTACAAATTAAATATATTATTTTTATTATTCACCCTAGTTTTGCACTTTTATATAAAAAACTGTACTCTCTGAAAGTGGGTATGATTTATCAGAAATCTCTTACAACACACACACTGATAGTTTTCCACAAGAAATTTTACCTTTATAATAAGATCTACTGGTTCATTAAACAACAACTGTGCCAAAACACACACCTCAGGAGTTCCCAGTACACTGTTCAGTACGCTGTGCAGTTCCCAGTACAGTGCTTAGTACACTGTGCAGTTCCCAATGCAGTGCTCAGTATGCTGTGGATTTCCCAGCACACTGTGGAGTTTCCGGGACACTGCTCAGCACACAATGCAGTTCCTGGTGTATATCAATACAGATACTTCATACTTAGCTGTCAGTGCACCGCATAATTTTAATTATGGAAGTCCAAATATAATACGGAGTTCTTGGCTCAATACCTAGTTCACAGTTCACAACACATGTCTACATGCACTTTCATTCCTCAACAAGCCCCATCTGTTGTTTCATGTATAGTTGTCCAAACTTTTGTCCAAGATGGATATGTTGGATGCATACCTATTACATTGGGTAACTGTTCTGAATGTTTACCAGTACAATAGAAAATTCAAAATGCCTTGTGAGGGCTCTTCAGTGAACATGTATTGTCAATTACATATATTGATGTCATCCCTGGTTCATTCTCCAACAGCGAAGAGATCCTGGAAATGTGTAGCATAGCACTGCTCAGTGGCTACCTTAGCCCTTTATCTCTCCACATTCTAGGATGTGATGCTAATTTCATCCAGCTTACAGTTGCCAGGATTCAAACCCAAAACATTTTGTTTTCAGATTTAGCACTTAGTTGACTGGGATGTCTGACATATACCATTGCAGTAGGTAAATGCTGCTCTGTTTTCTTACTGAACTTGAAGCAAGCTACACTGGTGTGGTCATGCTTCAGAAATCTCAGAGAAGATAAGCTGGGTGAGTGTAGAAGAAGAGGATGCCAGGAGGTCTGCTAATACTGTTGGCCAAAAATACCATCGATAGGATGATTTTGCTTAATGTCAATTTTATCTTCATTCACTTCCATAATTTGAGTACCTCAATCTTGGTCTTAGTTAACACAGAATAGCGATTGAGATTTCCCGATCTGGCTGGAGAATGAGCCTTGGATGTAGACAATATGAAGCTTTGGCTTGGCATAATCTGTGATGCAGAAGGCCAATCATTATCTGAGCTGATAGCGGAAATATGTGCACTTGATCAGGGTAATAGAACCCAATAACACATCAAAAAGGAAGGGGATGGGGGATCTAGCTGAAAACTGCAAAAATAAACAATAATCCACTGAGCCATCAAGGAACTGATTTTGAACTGACAGCCCAGGCTGTCATCGTTGAGAAAGCTGTAAGTTCAAAGGTTTAGCTGCCACAGTAATGTACAACTAGAGGAAAAGAGATTGAAGAAATTCTAACAGTTTATCCAAAGATAACAGAGGACAGAAAATATACACCAGTTAATTCCAGTGGAAAATTAATCCTATCAGAAATTCTTAGTTTACTGCAGATGCTGCCGTTACCACACAAAGTCAGCAAAGTGACTTTCTGCATTAAAGCCACAATCACTTCCTATAATCTGTACAATTTAAAGCACAGGTACCATTCAAGCCAACTGGTCTATGTTGTGTAATTGCTTTAAAAGTGATGCTTTAAGCATGATGCCCCTTCATAAGAAATCCAACATTAGCCTGTAGCTGATTGTCATCATTGGACCAGGGGCTACAGATACTTGCATTGTAACAGCTAAGACACAGGCTGTGTCTAGGGATTACTCTGTAAAGTTTGTACTAGTTTGGCTGTAAATAAACCCACCAGAGATCTTCAAGAAAACAGAATCCATGTACCTAATTTGTGTTATGCATAGATAGCGAAAATCTTTGCTATTTGGCACCAAGTGTATGAACTTCATGACAGTCTATGCCAGCAATTATGATCATTGAGCCTAATTCATCATAATTACCAATAATTGACATCTATATGCTGTCTTCAAATGTCCTAAGGAACTTTTCACCGTGACTATTAAACAAAATCTTGACACTGAGTCAAAAAAGGAGAACCACAATATGACCACAAAATTGGTCTAACAGATAGCTTTTAAGGAGCATTTTAAAGCAAGTGAGGGGAGACAGAAACAGAAATAGGGGGAGAGAAATAGGTTTATGAAATATGTTACCAACTTTAGGCAGGGGTTAGTCACAGCTCTTCAGCAGTTAGCTCTATGGTTGTATTTCAGGGACAAATGAAAGGTTGTAAGTTATGTTAACCCAGTGCAAAAGCTTTAGTAAAAATGAGTGGCAGTTAACATTGTGATAAATTTCAAAGAACATAATTTGACCTTTCACAGCTAAGGAACAGAATTTCACATCTCTGACTTATAGGGACCAAGAAGTGTATGTTGCTGTAAAGTCTTTAAAGTAAATATCAAGAGTATTTCAGATGGAGGGGACATAATGAGGGAACTTTCACAGCCCTTACAGCACAACCTTTTTCAGGACTTGAACAGATCACCTACACATTCCTAGTGCTTCAGAGAAAAATCCACATCCTCTGTTACCTTGTTCCATCAGGAATATAATCATTTCCCTTTCTAAATTTGAAACAAGTAATTCTCCTTTACTATTTTACGTGACAATTAATTCTCTCTTTACAGTACCTTTCTGGAGCAGAAATTTGTTGAAAGTTTGGAATGTCATCTGCAGCTTGGACTGTTGGTCTGTCATTACTTCTGGTCTTTTCTACTTTTTCTATCTGTTCGGATGTTGCGCCTTAGATCAAATTTATGGGAAGTCAAACCTCCTCATTTCTTTGAAAATGTTTATGTTTTAAATTTGAGGTAAGCTTTTCCTAACATGCTTCTAATAACAGAGCACAAACAGTCCCACTTTCAAATGTTTAGCAATTGGAATTATTCTGTACTTGCATGAGATCTATCTCACTTTGGTGGAGCTATTATAATATCATACATTCAGACGTCATTTTATTTTTTCAAAATGTAAAGCAAGTTCATTTAAGAAGAAATCAAGTAGCAGTCATATAACAACTGTATGTATTTATACACACGTGGAATTAAGTATATTAGTTGACTTCTCAACAAAATAATATAAAGTTCACAGCTGTAAGAATGAAACTAGTTGTTTTCAAAAAACTTTCTGAGCCACAAAATGATTCTTCTGTTTACAGTGGGAGTTTACAATAATCCAACGCCTTTTGAAATTTCAAGCTGATTTGTCTTTCTTTCAAGAGTTTCAAACTGACTGGATCCTTTGTTGAATGAAGTATTGGATTAACTTTCAATTTAATTTAATCACAATTTAACTTCTCAATACCCAGAAATGAGTAAGAATGTACTGCAGGTTGTTGCTGGTGAAGGAAAGGCCTTGCTGAAATTCTTGCACAGTTCTGCCTTATTTCTCACCATAGCCCATGTTGCTCAAGCCTCCATAAGGTTCCATGCTTGTTCTCTTTACACAGCAGTATAAATCGGGATTTTTGGATGTGCTGCTGATCACTTGGCATGGGTCAGTTCTCCATGTATCAAATCCTCAAGGATAAATCCTGAGCTCATGTCCAAGCTCTGCTTGATTAGCGCCAGCATTCTCATCCAAAAAAGAATTGCTTTATCAATGACCTTTTTCTTCCTGTGTGTTACCAAGAATGCAGCATACCTGTATTTTATAGAAAGTGAACAAATAGTATAGCGTTGTTTAAGTATGAATTGATAAATTGTGGGAGGCCAAGGGCAGGAAGGTCAGGGTGGAAGACTGGGCTTCACAGACGGAATGGTCTTTTCAGGAGACTGAAAGGGAACAGGAGAGGCCAGATATATTTGGTGATCAAGTGTCATGTAGCAGAAATAGTGGAAGCTGTGCGGGGTGGAAGGTGAGGACAAGGGGAAGCCTTTTGTGGTTCTAGGAGGGAAAGGAAGGGCTAAGAGGAGAACTGTGCTAATTGGCCAGATGTGGTGAAAGGCCCGATCAGTCATAATGGAAGGACATCTCTTACCACACCACATCATCATGACAGACCTCAACATCACTTAGAGCACAATTCTCTACATCAGTGCTGCCCTTTGGAGCACACCAACACTTTGCATTGAGATGCTGTTGCTAGCCTGCTTTGAGTGCAGGAACTGGCACCCATTTCATTGATAGGAGCAGGAGGCATCTCAGGGCTCTTAGCTTACTCTCTTAGTGCTCACTCACTTTGTGCCTCCTTGGATGCTCAGAGAATCCCTGCAATACCATGCTTTGCGTTTTTACATGTTGTCTTGTCATTCACAAGTTACAGGCCCCACAGTCCTCCTGGGTAGCCTTGCTCTTTAGTGCAGACACAAAGCCAAGCAGCTCGTCATGGTTGATAGTGGTGATCAGTCAAGGGGATAGACATCTCACTGCATGAAACCATGCTGCATCAATGTGATACTAAAACCATTCACCAGCAGCTTGAGAGGCAAACACACTGCATGTGCTTTAACCAAATTGCTGTGTCTCAAAGTCTAAGGGGCATAGTCTTCAGCCAAGTGAATGGAGGCAACCTTTAGTGAGGCATTCTGGTACAAAATGTCAAGGACATCATCAGTGTAAGGACCTGGACATAGTCAGTCATTTGGAACATCTAAGCTTAGAGGTTTCATACTTTACAGTGTGAGAAGTAGGCCATGGCCAATCCTACAGGGCCAGTCCAACCAATCCCGGGAGTCTCAGTGTCAGTCAAGGAGCTATAGACAGCAGCCAAGGTCTAATTACTCTAGTCGGGTGGTTAGGGTGGTCCTTCCAAATTGGTCAGCAATTTTTTTTATGCATACATAGGATATGGGCATCACTGGCCAGGCCAGCATTCATTGCACAGAGTGCATGCTAAGAGTCAAACACATTATTCTGGGTCTAGAGTCACATCTACAGCAGACTAGATGAGAACAGTAGATTTCTTTCCCTAGAGGACATTAGTGAACCAGAAAGTTTTTTAAACAGCAATCAATAGATTTTATCGGTTTTAAATTTCATGATCTGCCATGCTGGGATTTGAACCCATGCTCTCGTTTGGTGGTCCTGAGGGAAGAGGATGGTCCTCCTCTACCATCCCAACCGCCAGGACCTCCAGTTCCTGTTGACAGTTTACCTCTACGGGCCAGCTCTGGGGCAAGTCTTTACTAACAAGAACTGTGAAGGGCAGCTCCTGGCTGACAGAGCTTGACCTGGTGCAGGGCTAAGATTTAAATATGATGCTCACGCTGGGAATCCCAGGAGACTCTGGTACTGGCAAGTACTTCCGCTGTTGGCAAGTGCACAATAGTGTGAGTGGGGCCCCATGGTACGCTGGTGCATAAATGATGAGACGGGATGCAGAGAATTGCATGAGTGAGATATTTCATTAGAACTAATGGAGAAAAACCGTTCATGCAACTCTCCAAAATTGACACAAAGCCAATTTTTGGTGAAACTCAGCCCAGAGTAATTGAACTGTCATTCAGCTTCCTCCACTAGCTGTAACTGTTACCACAGCAACAGGTTTCCATTCTGCACAACTAAAGGCTATTACAAAGTGACATCTTGCACATAGAATACTCACTGGTTGTAATGGGATTTGTATCCCTCACTGATTTAACTTGTGTGTTGCTGCATTCAAATATTCGTGCTCATCCAAGATAACACATAAACGCAAGAGAAAAGATCTAGGACTTGAAAAGACAAGTTAGCTCATTGAAGCTTAAACCTCCTAAACTGTAACTCTCCTGTTATAGCATCCAACTGCAATTGTTCCTCATATATCATTCTCATTAAACTTGGCATTGATGTTCCAAGCAGTGCCTGGAATTTCTTCAACATGACTTACCCCGCCATTGCCAAATCAGGAAAATCACTGTACTTACCAAAGACCTGTTGAGGATTTTGCACGGTCACGACAGTTACAGATCTGCAGTTATTAATGCAGGCATTGATGTGAAATAGTGTAAAGTAGTTGTAAGCAGCTGAGCCATGGGGAAACCAGTGTAACCATTGTTAGCTTGTGTTCTTTACCAGTGTTCTGAGAGATTAGGAGGTAGGGCAGGAGAGAGCCCCACTCTTTAATTCTTTCTGCAATTTTACCAAGATTTGATTGCTGTGGATAAACAATGAGCTCTCCCAGTGGAGTCCAGAAACTCCATCCCAGGGGAAGAATTCAGAATTTCAATAGAGCAAAACTTTAAATTCTAATCAACAAGATTGAAAACAGGAGGCGCAGAGTCCAGGGTGTGATCCTTTATGTCTGCCAGAGATAGCATCCATAATACCTGAAGGAAGCTGACATTGGCACAAAGTGAGATATCCTTACCAGCAGTGCAAAATGTCCAAAGAAGGCTTGATTTATCCAGACTTCCTTGGGTGAAAATAACATGGTACATTGTGGATACAAACCGCTTTCTCTTCTGACTTAAAGCTGAGAAGCTGGTGTGTCTTTTTCACTTAGTAAATGTTATTATTTAATAGGTGGAGGGATATCAGAGCAGGTCTGATCCCTACAGGGCATATCCTACTTCATGTGGGAATTCCAGGACTTTTCCAGTCCCAAATAACTACATAGGCAGGAAGTATAATCATCTGTATCAGCTTGAGCTTGATTTATTTATTTTTTAATCATTTGTGAGATGTGTGCGTCACAACTAGGGATGGTCAAGAAATGCTGGCCAGCCAGCGACACCCACATCCCACAAAAAATGAATAGAGAAAAAAAAATTATAGCCCTGTCCCTAGCTGCCCTTGAGAAGGTGGTGGTGAGCTGACTTGTTGAACCACTGCAGTCCACCTGCTGTGGGTTGACCCACACTGCCCTTAGGGAGGGAATTCCAGGATTTTGACCCAGTGACAGTGAAGGAACGGCGATATATTTCCAAGTCAGGATGGTGAGCGGCTTGGAGGGGGACTTGGAGGTGGTGATGTTCCCATATGTCTGATGCCCTTGTCCTTCCAGATTGAAGTGGTTGTGGGTTTGGAAGGTGCTGTCTGAGGATCTTTGGTGAATTTCTGCAGTGCATCTTGTAGATAGTACACACTGCTGCTACTTAGTGTCAGTGGTGGAGGGAGTGGATGCTTGTGGATGTGGTGCCAATCAAGCAGGCCTCTTTGACCTAGATGGTGTCCAGCTTCTTGAGTGTTGTTGGGGCTGCACTCATTCAGGAAGTGGGGAGTATTCCAACACACTCCTGACTTGTACCTTGTAGATGGTGGACAGGCTTTGGGAAGTCAGGAAGTGTGTTACTCGCCACAGTATTCCTAGCTTCTGGCCTGCTGTTGCAGCCATTGCATTTATATGGTGAGTCCATTTGAGTTTCTGATCAATGATAACTCCCAGAATGTTGATAATGGGGATTCAGTGATGGTAACACCATAGAATGTCAAAGGATGGTGGTTAGCTTGTCTCTTATTGGTGATAGTCATAGCCTGGCATTTGTGTGGTGGGAATATTACTTGCTACTTGTCAGCACAAGCCTGGATATTGTACAGATCTTGTTGCATTTGGACGCGGACTGCTTAATGTCTGAGGAGTTGCAAATGGTGCTGAACATTGTGCAATCATCAGCGAACATCCCCACTTCTGACCCTATGATGGAGGGAAGGTCATTGATAAAGCAGCTGAAGATGTTTGGGCCTGGGACACTACCCTGAGGAATTCCTGCAGAGATGTCCTGGAGCTGAGATGACTGACCTCTGACAACCACAACTATCTTCCTATGTGTCAGGTATGACTCCAACCACCAGAGAGTTTGCCCCCAGATACCCAATGATTCCAGTTTTGCTAGGGCTCCTTCGTGCCACATTGGGTTGAACGCTGCCTTGACATTAAGGGCTGTCACTCTCACCTCACCTCTGGTGTCCATGTTTCAACTAAGGCTGTAATGAGGTCAGGAGCTGAGAGGCCCTGACGAAACCCAACTTTGGGTTTCTGGCATCACTGCAGCACATCTGTCTTGCAGAGGGCTATGTAGATAACACACTTATACGTGTGGTCATCCACAGTTTAGGGATAGGCAGGGAGAGAGGGAATAAGTGACAAGAAGAAATAGGCAGGGGGTGCAAGAGTCCCATGAATGCATCTCAGTCTCCAACTAGTATTCAGTTGTGAACACTGATGAAAGTGATGGTTCATTTTGGAGTATAGTTGTAGCCAAGTTGTCATTATATAAACATAAGACCCCTCAAATTAGGGCAGAAGTAGGTCATTTGGCCCCTTGTGCCTGCTCCATCATTCAATAAAATCATGACTGTGTTTATATTTGTCTTGAATTCTACATTGCATGTAATAGCAGAAGATCAAGGATGAGATATACAGTCAGATTCTGGAAAGAATACTTCGATAATTACGTGAATAGGAAAGGTTTGGAGGGATATGGGCCAGAAGCAGGTAGCTGAGCCTAGTTTATTTTGGGATTATGGGCGGTATGGACTGGATGGACCGAAAAGTCTGTTTCCATGCTGTATGACTCTATGTGAAAAAATAATCTTTGATTCCATTGTCTGACAAGAACTCTATGAATCCAAGAATGATTTACAGTAAAGTTATGGTAAATTACTATAAGAAGATACCCAGTGGATTGCATTGATACTTTTATTCTAAAGTCTCAACAGTAGTACAATACACACAGTGTGTTACTGATTCCTTTTAAAATGTAAACAAGGACTCGGCAGTTTTCAACTAAGAATTGGATAGAGCTTCAGGAAAATGTAAGAAACCAACATCTATTTATTTTCCAAAACAGCGATCACGTATAGAAGGTTGAACGGGTAAACAAGGACAGACACATTTACTATTAAGACAAGCACCATTTAGTCCTATTCTGAGAGCTGGTTGCAGGTTAAATCATCACTTTTACTTTCTTCCACTTACCCCAAATTACTAAATGCGCTATTTGGATTGACCACTACTGAAGACACAGAAGCACAGATCCAATAGAGAAATCTCTTTTTTACTTCTTTTTGTGGGATGGGCATGTCACTGGCAAGTCCAGCATTAGTCTCCATCCTTAATGAGTGGATCTTGAAATGAGTGGATTGCTAGGCCATTTCAGAAGGTAGTAAAAGTGTCAACCAAGTACTATGGATCTGGGACAACAAGGTGCAGGGCTGGATGAACACAGCAGGCCAAGCAGCATCATAGGAGCAGAGAGGCTCTGGAGTCTTTTTTTGATGGAAGTTTTTTTTTGAGGAAATAACAAGGTGCAATGATGAGAGTAGTGCAGGTGAAGTTATTTACATGGATCTGAGTAAGGCATTTGATAGTGTCCCACTTGGTCAGAAAAATAAAAGCCTATATGATAGAGATATATTTGCAAATGGAAAGCAGTTTTCAATGATATTCCTTGGGGCTCTGTGTTGGGACCCTTACAATTTGTGGTACATGTTAATGATTCAGACTTAATGTGAGAGGGAGGCATGATTGGGAAATTTTCAGACCGTACAAAAATTAGCTGGATCATTGATAGGGAAGAGGATGGCATTGACTGCAGGAAGATATTAATGGTTTGGTTGAGTTCATACTAGAAAGGCAAAAGGGATTCAATCCAGAAAAGTATGAGATTATGCCCTTGGAGAAGGAAAACAAAGCAAGGCAATATACAATTGCTGGAAGGATAATGAGAGGTGCAGAGGAAGTGAGAGATCTTGGTATGCATGTCATATGTACCTGAGATGGCAGGACAGGGAGATAAGATGAAAAAGAAGGCAAAAGGGGTGCTTTCCTTCATACGGCAAGATATTGAATACAAGAGCAGGAATATAATGCTGGAGCTATATAAGACTCTGGTTAGGCCACTGGAGTTTTTTCAATACAATGTGGAGCTGGAGGAATACAGTGGGTCAGGCAGCATCAGAGGAGCAGGAAAGTCATTGTTTTTGGCCTAGATCCTTCATCAGTCCTGATGAAGTGTCGAGGCCCGAAATGTCAACTCTCCTGCTCCTCTGATGTTGCCTGACGTGCCGTGTTCCTCCAGCTCCACACTGTATTGACTCTGAATCCAGCACCTGCAGTTCTTGCTATCTCTGAGCTGGAGCTTTTAGTACAGTTCTGCACAGCACATGGCAGGATGGCCTTAATTGCGCCAGAGAGAGTACGGAGGAGATTTACAAGAATGTTGCCAGGGCTCGAAAATTATAGGTATGAGGGAAGTGTGGATAAACCAGACTTACTTTTGTCAGATTAGAGGAGGCTAAGGAGTTATGGAATCAAAGTATGCAAAAAGATGAAGATCTTCAATCGACTGGACAGGCAAGACCTGTTTCCTCTAGCAGAGAGGTTGGTTACCAGGGGCACTGATTTAAGATAATTTTTAAAAATACTAAAGAGGGCTTGAGGAAGAGTGTCATAGGTCTCTAGAGTTTGGCAGAAACTTTCAACTCATTTAAAAGAAACTTGGATCTGTATGTGATGTAACATAATCTGTCAAGGTACAGAGCAGGTACAGCTATTAAAAGTGGGATTAAAATGGCTGGTGTGTTTATTTAAACAGCACAGACAAGGTGGGTTGAATGCCCTTTTTCTGTATTGTAAATTTTCTATGGTTCTAGTAATCCAGATGGGTTTTTACAAGCTTTCATAATAGTTTTATGGATTACTGAGATTTATTGTGAGCTCTATAGTGCAGATGTATTAATTAAATTGAAATTCCACCAGCTGCCATGAAGACATTTGAAGCTACATGCCCAGGCTATTTGCCTGGGGATCTGGATGAGCAGTTCATCACTGCTAGTCAATCAAGGAACATGCAGCCATCTCAAATAGCATTTTAACTGCTTAATTTTACAGTTGGGCACTTTTTACTTGATTTTCAGGATATTTTTTCTGATTAGGTTGCTACTGTTTTCTTTGATTCATTCCTGAATATTCAGGGTTACAAATCTGAAGAAGTCTGCATTCTACATGTGGAAACTGACTTTGCTTTCACCTGATGCCCAGATTATGTACTGTCCAGCAGAGATGGACCATGGAGGTGTGAATCCTGTCTAATGGCCCTTTCCCTACACCAAGGAAGCTGAGACCTAAATTGCCCAATATACTAAATTGCCCTGTATTCCATAAGTTTAATCAAGCAGCTTAGATTGTGTCATTGACTAGGAGAGCAGCATGTCAGTGGTTTACAATCATGCATTAAATGTGGAATAGAGAACTTCATAATCTTGTTAGATAATATCTTTTTATATAGACAGTAGTTTGGAAAACGAAGAATTGAGCCAGAAGCCACATTATTGAGACCACTCACTAGAGAATTAAAAGAGTTAATATTGTTCTTTTTTGTCAGTGATGGATGTTCACTGCAGGGAGCTGAATTATAAACGATTTAATTTCAGCAAACTAACTCCTCAGTTTTGGAACCTTACCACTTGATGTATTTTCTTGTCTTCATATTTGAGGTCACTGGGACAGCATTGAGAAGAAAACAAATCAAGGGATTTGGTAAACACTTTGAACTTCAATGTTCTTGAATGTACAAGAGCTTCATAAAATGTAATAAATCCCTCCTTAATGTGAGATCTGATATCTGTGATCCGTCTGGTGTACTCAAATAACCCAGCCCTCAGCTGCCCTGAATGGATATCAAACTCTGACTTCAGCTCCAAACTGACACCACTGATGGATTTGAAAAGTTACTCTTTGTAACAACAAGTTTCTATCTGCTGCCCAAACAGCCATTCCTCTTCAAGCCCTGGGCAGACAAATTTTCCTGGACATTATTACTCCAGCAACTGCCAGACACGTGGAAACACTGAGCGCCATCAAAAATCCTGGCACAGAGGGCAGATGTCGTTCCCAGAATGTTGTAATGATTGGTCGACTTGGAACCTCCTGAACAAAAATAAAGAATAAGCTTTAGTTTGCCCTGTTCAACAATACAATCTCCTCCTATGTCATCAGGTGCTTTTATTTTAAGAAACACATGTTTGCTCTTACAGCAACAGTTATGACTGAGAACTGGTACAACAACAGTAGAGATAAAGTTCTTTCAGTAAATGCCAATGGCACCCAAGCACATTGTGAAATACTCAAATAAAACAGAATTTGAATTTAGATAGGGCTTTTCACATTTACAGCACCTCCCGAGGCACACTATAACCAAAAGATTAGTTTTGAACTGCAACAACTATCTATTCTCAGTAAATTTGAAAGCAGCGCCCCAAAAGTGTAACCCTAGAGCCATCATGCTCCAATACTTAGTTGTACATTGTCACTCTTCACTCTGTGAACACAACCTTTCTGAATTTGATTTAAGTTTATAAATTCCTTATTCACATCCCATTGCAATAAATGACCAGATAATTTGTTGTTTGGAGCATTCATTGTGGTGGAAATGTTGGTCAGGGAATCTCCTTGTTCCTTGAATAGTGCTTTGAGATTTTATAAAACTGAGTCAATAGAAGGGAACAAGCTATCTAGAAGACTGATCCTTGTCAATGCAAAATTTTCTTAGGGCTCTGTCAAAGTCGTCAGGGTAGATGGAGACTGAAATCTATAGTTGACCTTGAACCCACAACCTCTGATAGGGGTAAGAACATGGTTAATTGAGCTAAATTGACACATCTGATTTCATTTTAAAATAAAGAGGTAACTTATCCTCAGTGTATTAAGTCACTAATTTGTGTATTTAAATGATCAGCACTAAGCAGCAAATTCAGTGAGGTTGCATTCCTCGACTGCAGCCGCATAAACTGGAGTCCAAGCCTGCAATTTGGCCATAACACTATTGTCATGATTCATTGACACATGCTGCCTTCTAGGAACACTTCACTCCAGGGGAAATAAACGTTGCTGAAGCATCTAGACTGTTCATCATTCAAGTTCCAGAGGTTGGGCTGTAATGATTGGCACCAATTCCAAATTCAGACCTTCAATGTAATTTGCTTGAGGAAACAAAAGGAGTCAACTACAGCAGCAACTTGTTTATGTAGACCACCATTCCAATCTTGTTGCAGATTGCAGACTGATCGAAAAGAATGAGGGTTAATTGAGTAGTGGTCACAATCAAACAGTGTAATATCTTACTTTAATAAGGCCATGATAGGGCAGAAATCTAATTGAACAGTGAATAGTTTTGACAAAGAATAGGACCTGATAGTGTTCTAGTTGATCTGATGTGGCATCAACTCCAAATCCACACTAAATGATGAATGAGTTGGGCACAGAATTCCCACACAATGATCTACATCCCATCATTCACATTATATAAAACCATAATGGATTGGATCCAATCTCATTCTTCAAAGTCCCTGATTTATGCAAAATGTAATGATGTAATGGTCACATAAATCTGGATCCAGGAGAGTAAGTCACTGCTAGCTTTTTAAATCAATACACAATCAATTTCAATTCAGTCCTGTGGGAGTAATGATGCAGGCTGAGTTTTCAATAAAACAGGTTGATTTTTTACAACTTATCAACACCTCTGGACACAAAAATATGTTTGCTGTCATGAACATATCCTCTTGTGTCACTTTAGATTAACAAATGCACTTCACAAGGTTTTACATTTACCACTAGACCAATCATATTATTAATCATCAAGTTGACATTGGAATGAGTAACTATTGGATTTTAATTTAGTTTGTTCACTACGTACCTGAACTTCAGGTTCATGGGTCCAGATTGCTGTCTCTGGAATAATTCCTATGGTACACATCACCTACAGAAAGAATACACACTAAGTAAGGCAGTGTTGAGTAAATACACACACAGCTAGATATATCGGACAGAACCAAATACACATACATCTAGATTTATCAAAAGGACCAAAATACAAATGAAGAGAGTTCTTATTTCTATTCAATTGATGAAAATTCAGCCCATTTGTATACATCGTTCTCAATTTTCAATTTCATTGACTTCATTGCTCATATTATAGCATTACCAAATGTCTAAATTACCCCAGCCTGTAAATAATTCCACATTCTGTACATCTGTTAGTTCAGGAGAAGACAACAGATGCTGCTTTCTATCTGTCAGTGCATCACAACACACGGAAAGCAAGATTTTAAAGTTTGAATCTTCGTTTCATAACTTCAATGGTACAGCCCAGTACCAATTTTACTTTTTAATGAACATTGGTGATTATGTATACTGGTAAATAGAAGAAGTTGGAAATATCCAGCAGACCAGAGTGAAAGACAGAATTAATATTTCTGCACCAATTCACCACAAAACTGTGGCATTAAATATTTTTCTCTTTCTACAATTACTGCCTGACCAGCTGAGTGCTGTATATGGGTTTGAAAGGGTTAAAACTGAGGAGCACCATAAGTACACCCACAAAGATGATGTCATATAGACTTCAGGGAAGAATAGCCTAGGAGTGAGACTGAACATCTAGTTCATCTCAAAGTCTCTGTAACAATGCTTATCGTATCAACATGCAACTAGCTGCCAATATTCAATAAACTACACTTTGTTAACATCAAGAGCCTTTTTTAGCTGGACTAGGAAATAAATTTCCTCAACTGCACTAGACTGAGCAGGCTCTGTAGTTTCCAACATTGTAAGAAGATAGTGGCAGGAACCTTTATCGTGAGCAGCAGTTTGGACTGCTAGCAAATGCATATAATATGGAGTATATCCACCACTCTCTCGTATATTTTGGACTTCCAGCATTTATAATATTTTGCCTTTTATATTGATGCTTATGCAGTTCAAAGCTACTGCCCACGAGACAAACATTGTCTCCACACAAAACGTTATACCAGAACTTCTCAATCAGTCTGCTTTCACCAGCATAATTACAGCATGCTTCACTCCAACACCTCTCAACGCACCTACTACTTCCATCCAGGCGCGGTGTGGGGCGGCACAGTGGCTCAGTGGTTAGCACTGCTGCCTCACAGGACCAGGGACCCGGGTTTGATTCCACCCTCGGGCGACTGTCTGTGTGGAGTCTGCACGTTCCCTCCGTGTCTGCGTGGGTTTCTTCTAAGTGCTCTGGTTTCCTCCCACAGTCCAAAGATGTGCAGGTTAGGTGGATTGGCCATGCTAAATTGCCCGTAGTGTTCAGGGAGGTGTAGATTATAGGGGGATGGGTCTGGGTCGGATGCTCTGAGGTTTGGTGTGGACTTGTTGGGCAGAAAGGCCTGTTTCCACACTATAGGGATTCTATGATCAATGATTCAGGCAAGCAGTGTGGCCAGGCTCTTCTTTAGGCACTTGGCACAAATAGAGAAATGTACGGAAGCTAAAATGTAGTGAATCAGTGGATGCGGGGGGGGGATTGATTTTAAAGTTTGATCCTACGGTACCTCTCTGGCAGCACGTTCCCCAGCCTGTACTGCTCCATCCATGTAACCGCTCCACTTGGTGGCTGTCTCAGTGCCAGCAAAGTACACTCGTCCGAATGGCTCGCGCAGAACTCTGAACCAAAAAAACCAAACCAGCTTGTGTGAGTCAATCCCTTCCAACAGAATGAGCTGAACCAAAATCAAAGAAAAACAGAAAGTGCTATAAATATTCAGCAGGCCAGGCAGCATCTATGGTGTGAGGAGCAATGTTAATGATTTCGGAGGACAGACCATGTGAGTTTTGTCACTGCAGTGATTGGAACCAGGAGGACCTTGTTGGCTATGAGGTCCTTGATTGGGGTTGTTAACCTGGACTAATCAGGAAAGCCCTGCCTGACCAATATAACCAGAAGATTTAGAATCTCTTCAGTTCAGGGGACTAACTCTATACTGGCTGACCACAGCCAGTGTACTGTGCACAAGTAAATAAAGGGTGACTTGGTGACAGGGTATCAGCCTCTGTGCAGTTATTGCAGGCTCCAATAAAGTAACCCGGGTTTCTGTTGTTCAGCTAGATATTACCTATGCATACTAGCTGTGTTAGCAGCTGGAATATTCTGTGGCCAGATAGTCTTGAGATTTTAAAGCTTTTTCTTTCCTCCCATATCGGTCCACTCCTTTTAAAGTAAAGAGGTTACACATAAAAAATGAAAGGAAAGAAGAAAAAGATTAAAAAATGTATAAACAGGACATTTAGAATCTCCTCAGTTCAGGGGACTGACCCCGAGCTGGCTGACCACAGCCAGTGTACTGTGCACAAGTAAATAAAGGTTGACTTGGTGATGGGATACCAGCCTCATTACAGTTATTTCAGTGGTGATGGGAGAAAACAGTATGTGCCTGAAGAATATTCATTTGCAACAGTCATGTTGGAGTTGGGGTAAGCATTTCTGGCATCATGCCTTTATTTGGGAAGCTTGGCTTGTTTGATCCTGCTGTCAAAGACTGGGCCCAGTACGCAGAAAGAATGTGATATTTTTTCCAGGCAAATGACATTGGAGCAGATGAAAAGCAGCGAGTAATCCTTCTGACTGCTTGCAGACCCACAGCATTTTTGGTTATAAGGGGCTTAAGTTTCCCAGAGGCACCAGGCACTAAAACCTTCCAAACATTGATGGAGTTGGTTAAGAAATATTACAACCTCAGTCCTCCTCTAATTCTGAGACACTATTGGTTTTATTCGGCTGTTAGAGAACCGGGAGAATCTGTACTGGGATTTTTGATGAGGTTGAGATGACTAGCAGAGGCATGTGATTTAGGGTTAATTCTGAATGAGAAGCTGAGAGACCATTTGGTATGTGGGATTAATGACATAACCATGCAGAAGCGCCTACCAGTTGAAGTCCACCTGGACTTCAAACAGACACTACAACTGGCTTTGTCATTAGAAGATGTGACAAGTGGAATGTGGGAATTACATAGGAACTTCAGGGCATCCCAGTGGAAGTGGACACTCTCACCTGTCTGACTGTGTCTGGGTAACACCACTCGAGTGTAGACAATCACAGAGCCTCATGGAGAGCATATTATGAGCAGAGGGACCCTAGGCCAGCCCACAGCATTACCCCACAACAAAGTCATGCCTTGGCCAAGTGTCTAAACAGTTCTTCAGGATCTGGGCTGGCAAACCATTGTAGTTGCTGCCTTGAGGCAGCAAAGGTGTCCTACAAGGTCTTACCTGTGTAAGAAAGCTCGTAGGCTGGTACCAAGGAGAGTGCATGCCCTGGAATGTCCCCCTACATGTGAGTCGGAACAATTAAATTGCTTAGCGACGCCCAAATCAGAACCGATTAAAATTAATGTTTGGTTAAATGGTCATCCAGTTCCCATGGAGGTCAATACCAGTGTAGCTGTGTCTGTGGTTGCAGAATCTGTCTTTAACAAGATTCGCTCAGGACTCCAACCTTTACAACAGCCCAAGCCTGTTGGAGCAGAAGTGGTTGAGAAGGATTCACCTGGATTGGCTTAACATTTCTTGATTGGAAAATAGCTGCCTCAGTGAAATCTGAGTGAAATACCCAGGAGATTTCAGGAAGGGCTTGGGACTATCAAAGGGGAGACAGCCACTGTACATGTTGACCAGGAAGCAATTCCAAGGTTTTGCAAGGCCCACCCAGTGCCATTTGCCTTGCGGCCAGAAGTAGGGGTGGAAATCAGGAGGCTGGAGAGTGAAGAAATCATCAAACCAGTGCAGTTTGCAGAATGAGCAGCACTGGTCATACCGATGGTGAAGCCTGATATCTTCAGTTTGTCTTTGTAGGGATTTTGAGCCAAAGGTAAACTGCTTCTCGCAGCTATATAAATACCCAATCCCTAGCATAGAGGACTTGTATGCAAAGTTGGTGGGTGGGCTGGCCTTTACCAAGCTGGACATGAGCCATACTTACCTGCAATTGCAACTCAATAAGGAGTCCCAAAAGTACACCATACTTAACATCCATAAGGGTTTATACCAATATACCACTCTGTCATCTGGGGTATCATCAGCCCTTTTTCAGCAGACCATGTAGAACATTTTATAAGGGCTACTCCAGTTTGCCATTTATCTGGATGACGTGCGAATAACCAGGAAGACCAATAAAGAGCACGCAGAGAACGTGGACATAGTGATTAAACATTTCTCCCAGGTGGGCGTACACCTTAGACGGGAAAAATATGTATTTCATCGTCCCATAAGTGACCTACTTGGGTTACAGAGTCGACAAAACCGAGTTACACTCATTGGAATATACAGTGAGGGTGACCAAAGGAGCCCCGTCTCCCATTTCTGTACCAGAACTTAGGTCTTTCTTCAGTTTAGTGAATTATCACGGAATATTCGTACATAACCTGGCCTCCAGCTCAGCACCCTTACACCTGCTATTGAGAAAGAGTCAGCCCTGGAAACGGTCGCATTACCAAAAAGTAGCCTTTAGGGAAGTGAAAATGCAGCTATTGTCATGCCCACTACAATTCAAAGCGAGAGGTGACGCTGACATGCGATACCTCCCTGTCTGATAATGGGATAGTGTGGGTTTACTGGTGGCCAAATGGAGAGGAATACCTGATAGCGTATGCTTCCTGGACTTTGGCTGATGCCAAATGCAAATATGCCCAGATAGAGAAGGAAGGTTTGACAGTCATCTTTGGTGTGAGGAAGTTCGACCAGTACCTTTACGGATGGGAATTTGTCATAATGACAGATCACAAATCCCTGCTAGGACTACTGAAGAAAGACAAGGCGGTGCCACCCACGGCTTCCGGTAGAATTCAGCGCTGGGACCTTACTCTCAGTGTGTACAAGTACAAATTAAAACACCGTCCAGGAAGCCAAGTGGCTAATGCAATGCCTAGAGCCGCCTCCCACTTGCAGAGATACTCACCGGTGGTGCCTTCTCTGGAAGAGCCTGTTTTGGTTTTAAACTTCCTGGACCGCTGACAATATCCAACTGTGGACACAAAAAGATCCTGTTCTAGCGAAACTAAAACGACTGGTGATAATGGGGGAAACAGAAGGGCCACTTCAACCAGGATTGAAACATTTCTGAACCCTTTGAGACCAGATCACCATAGAGAAAGGCATATTACCGTAGGGAGTAAGGGTGATTCTCTCGCGTAAAGGTCACTGCCAAATACTGGCTGAACTCCATCAGGGTCATCCAGGGGTTTCCAAGATAAAGATGCTTGCAAGAAGCTATGTCTGACGCCTAGGGTTGGATGCTGACATAGCTGCATTGGTTGGGCAGTGCCCAGAGTGCCAACGAGGATAGAAATTGCCACCATTGGCGCTCCCACATTGATGGGAATGGCCGGATAAACCCTGGTTCCGAGTGCATGTTGACTGTGCTGGTCCTTTCATGGGCTCAATGTTCCTGGTCACTGTGGATGCCCATTCAAAGTGATTGGATGTGCATAAAGTCTATTCGGCAAACTCAGGGATGACAATAGAGAAGCTGCGAGCATCATTTACGATACACGGACTCCCGGAAATATTGATACAGACAATGGGATGTCATTTACCAGCAGGGAATTTGAGTATTTCCTGAAGCCGACTGACATTCAGCACATAAGGACAGCTTCATACCACCCATTGTCCAATGGCCTAGTGGAAACAGCGGTCCAAATGCTGAAGGCAGCCTAAAGCATCAGCTGATACCAAACTGTCCCGGTTCCAGGTCAAATATAGAACCATACCCCATGCAACAACAGGGATAGCTCCAGCAGAGTTGCTGATGGGGAGAAGACTTTGTACCAGGTTAAACCTGATATTTCCAGACCTGGGGGTGAGGATGAAATGGCAGCAGGAATGCCAATGCCAAAGAGCTCTGATGAAACATCATCTAGACTCGAAACGTTAGCTTGCTCTCTCTCCATGGATGCTGCCTGATCCGCTGTGATTTCCAGCATGTTTTGTTTTTAGTACAAATTCCAGCAGCTGCAGTAAATTACTGCTACAGTACTAAAAAAGTGTTCTCCAGGCCTTGCTGCTCCCGTAGCCAAGCTCTTCCAGTACAACTACAACACTGGAATCTACCCAGCCATGTTCAAAATTGCCCAGGTATGTCCTGTACACAAAATGCAGGACAAATCTAACTCGACGAATTATTGCCCCATCAGTCTACTCTTGATCATCAGTAAAGTGATGGAAGACGTCATCAACAGTGCTATCACCAGCTCAGCAATAACCTGCTGCAGCGATGCCGGGTTTGGGTTCCACCAGGGCCACTCAACACCCGACCTCATTACAGCCTTGGTTCAAACTTGGACAAAAGAGCTGAATTCCAGAGCTGAGGTGAGAGTGAGAGTGACAGCCCTTGACATTAAGGCCGCATTTGACTGAATGTGGCATTAAGGAGCCTTAGTAAAATTGGAATCAGTGGATATCGGGGGGCAAGCTCTCTGCTGGTTGAAGTCATTCCTGGCATATAGGAAGATAGTTGTGGCTGCTGGAGGTCAATCATCTCAGCTCCAGGACATCTCTGCAGGAGTTCTTCACAGTAGTATCTAGACCCAACCAACTTCAGGTGCTTCATCAATGACCTTCCTTCTATCATAAGGTCAGAACTGGGAACGTTCGCTGATGATTTTACATTGTTTAGCACTATTCACAATTCCTCAGATACTGAAGCAGTCCACATTCGAATGCAACTAGGTCTGGACAATATTCAGGCTTGGGCTGCCGAGTGGCAAGTAACATTCACCACACAAGTGCCAGGTAATAACCATCTCCAATAAGAGACACTCTACACAACACCCCTTGACATTCAATGGTGTTACCTTCACTGAATATCAATTTCCTGGGGTTTACCTGTGGTGTTGGTCTTAAAACCAGTCCATTAAAGGGTGATCATTAAGTGTTAATTTGACATGACAATGAAAAATTTGCAGCCAATTGGAAAAATCCATTCAAAAAAATAGGCTGGTGTTAAAAACAGTCTGTTTTAGCTGGAAGGTAACTGCATAACTTTGATTGT